CGCTCCTCGAGTGCTTCATATCTGATAAAGACACGGACAGCGAGTGTTTTAGATGGCTTAAAAACGACCCATCTGATGAGTACATTAGCGAAGAAATCTTAAAAATAAACACTGTCTAGGCCGAGAAATGAAAGCTAATTAAGTTTATGTAAATGAACACAAGTTTTTATCACATATAAAACCACCGGCACGGCCTATGAGCTATTTCCTTTGGCGTTTCCTTATAAATTATTTATAATGAGTTTTTGAAGTACTATTTATTCGAGTGCTTTATCAGATATAAAACACGAGAGCGCAGCTCGCGAGTGTTTTTATCTGATATAGCACGGACTGCGAATGTTTTAAATGGCTTAAACATCTGATGAATTCATTTGGCGAAGTAATTTTAAAAATAAACGTTGTCTAAGCCGAGAAAATCAAACTCGAAAGTTTATGTAAATGAACATGATTTTTCATCACATATAAAACCACAGAGAGAGTATAGCTATTTCCTCTGTCATATCCTTGTGAATTATTTATAATGAGTTTTTTAAGATCATATAACATACAGTATGCGACTATATAACATACTGTATGAATTATTATATAACATCCTTATATGAATTATTTATGAGTTTTTGAAGATTATAAAACATACAGTAATACAGTATAGGACTATATAACATACCATAACCATCCCAGACACGCTGAAATTTTGCTTGTACATGTTTAACATTCTTCAACGCCTAACACATTGTTGAACAAAAGAAATACAATGTTACTGAAAAGAAAGGTCCATATATACAATATCAATACATATAATCACATGTGAATGGTATGTTCTTGCTGAGCTTATTAAAGTTAAGAGCTTCACTTTTTTTACTGTTAACTACCCCAAAATAGCAAAGCACTATTGTTTTAAGTTCCAAAGGAGATTATATTACGATACCGCGCCAAGATGATTAGTGCTTTCAAAGAGGATTATACACAATTTTAAGTCTTGTTTCAGTACGTGCCAGATTATGTTACATGCATGTATACTTTAATATTAGCGGGTGTTGAAAATTTAATCTAAGAGACTATATAAGATATGAATGTTGACACTGAAGGCTGGTTTAACCACGGCTTAAATTCTAAGCTCTGAAGGATTTTTAAGAAATGTTTGAGGAACTGTGTCGCTGTTTAGTAACACTGTTTCCTCCAATGTTAAACAGCGAGTCAGTTTTCTCAAACATTTCTTATACAAATCCTTCACAACTTAGAATGTTTAAAATCAAGTCTATAGTCTGGTGCACCCATTGCAAATGGATCATTGAAATCATGCCGATCTGTGATAGGCAAATCCAGCTATAGAGTAAATTTTGATCTAGGCAAGAAGAACAAAATCCATCACCACAGCTAGAAAGAGCATGTTAAAATTAGTAAAATTGCAAAGTTTGGTTGCGAAATGTTGTAAAATGAGGAAAATATAGCCCTGTGAAGTTCGCAAATTTTGTATAGATTTGTATTACGCGCGGGGAAAATAACCACTTTCGGCTCAAATTAAAATGGTTATGTTTACCGCGCGTAATACAAATTAATACAAAATTTGCAAATTCACAGGGCAATATTTTCCTCATTTTACAACATTTCGCAACCAAACTTTGCCGCAATTTTACTAATTTCAACATGCTCTTTCTAGCTGTGGTGATGGATTAATCATTTTGTTCTTCTTGCCTAAATCAAAATTTAGTCTATAGAGTATAGAGTATAGCCGGATATTGCATCGATTCTGCGAAACCAATTTTAACTGATAGTCTTAGTTCAAAATCCATCCGTTAGTCTAGACTACATTTTCGATGCCACTATTAATAGATCTGGGCTTCGGTGGCCTAGGCGTTTCCTCAAAAACAAAATCCATCACCACAGCTAGAAAGAGCCTGTTAACATTAGTAAAATTGCAAAGTTTGGTTGCGAAATGTTGTAAAATGAGGAAAATATAGTCCTGTGAAGTTCGCAAATTTTGTATAGATTTGTATTACGCGCGGGAAAAATAACCACTTTCGGCTCAAATTAAAATGGTTATGTTTACCGCGCGTAATACAAATCTATACAAAATTTGCGAACTTCACAGGGCTATATTTTCCTCATTTTACAACATTTCGCAACCAAACTTTGCAATTTTACTAATTTCAACATGCTCTTTCTAGCTGTAGCCTGCTCGCAGCCCGAAATTTAGAAGGGGAAAATTTCAACTGAAATTTTCCCCTTCTAAATTTCAGGCTGCGAGCAGGCTATCTAGCTGTGGTGATGGATTAATCATTTTGTTCTTCTTGCCTAGATCAAAATTTATTCTATATAGAGTATGAGTATAGCCGGATATTGCATCGATTCTGCGAAACCAATTTTAACTGATAATCTTAGTTCAAAATCCATCCTTTAGTTTAGACTACATTTTCGATGCCACTATTAATAGATCTGGGCTTCGGTGGCCTAGCTGGTCGTTAGAGCAACTGAGCAAGCGCCTTAATTGTTCACCTCTGAGATCGGTGGGTTCGATTCTCGCTACGTGACTGAAGAGTCAGTCAACGCTCTGCTGCAAGTCGTGGGTTTTCTCGGGGTGCTCCGGTTTCCTCCCAAAGGGAAAGTTGACAGGGTGGGTTAGGATAAACACAGTTAAGAAAGTAATATCACAATGGACCATTTACATTATAGGCTAAATTTTGATCTAAACAAGTCTAGACAAAAGTTTCATCACAGCTTGAAAGAGCATCACAAAATTAGTAATATTCCCGAGTTTCGTTGCGAAATGTTGTAAAATGCGGATAATATAGCCTTGCGAAGTTTGCCGTTTTTCAGTCATTTTGCATTGGACCTTTCCCCTTATAACTAAAATTTCGATTTAGACAAAAATTTCTTCACAGCTTGAAAGAGCATCACAAAATTAGTAATATTCCAAAGTGTTGTTGCAAAATCTTGTAAAATGCGGATAATATAGCCTTGCGAAGTTTGCCGTTTTTCAGTCATTTTGTATTACAAACGGGAAATTGACATCCGATTCGGGTGTTGGGGCTGCAATTTCCCGTTTGTAATGCAAAATGACTGAAAATTGCAAACTTCGCAAGGCTCTATTTTCCTCATTTTACAACATTTCGCAACGAAACTTTGGAATATTACTAATTTTTTGATGCTCTTTCAAGCTGTGATGAAATATTTGTCTAGACTTGCCTAGATCAACATTTTGGTTATAAGGGGAAAGGTCTATTTCCCGCCGGTTTGTAATATACAATAAGACTGAAACACGGCAAACTTCGCAAGGCTATATTATCCGCATTTTACAATTTTACAACATTTTGCAACGAAACTTTGGAATATTACTAATTTTATGATGCTCTTTCAAGCTGTGATGAAATGTTTGTCTAGACTTGTCTAGATCAAAATTTTGTTCATTAGGGAATATAGGTCCAATAATCGCAATATTAAATGCACGTACGCTTGCGTACCTATTTTTTGTCAGAAGACACAAAACTTTGAAAGAGCATCTTTCGTCTGGTCTATTATCCCGTTATAAGTCATAAAGTCGATATATTAGTGAAACTCTGCCTCCAATATTATTGAGGACATTATTCATTAGCGAAAAAAGGCCGTCAATTATTTTTTTATTACTATTTATTTAAACGCATTTATCATTTCTCCTTGACTTGCAGGGAAGGAGAATTCAATAATTAATACATCAAGAGCCCGTTGTTAAAAGCTGGATTAGCGCGGCTTAAAATTTAAACAGTTGTTTCACTATTTTGTATATTTCAACAAGTACTTTTATTTCAATACTTAGTCCGAAAGGAAAGCGCCTAGCTGTTGTCTGTTGGTTCAGAATTTCAGACAAGATTCTGAAGAAATATTTCCAAGTTTATAAACAAACTGTTGTGTTTGGACGTCTGTTTTGTTGCCTAAAGTTCAGCTGACAGATTTTCGAACAATACTCGTTCATGCAAACAGTTTAGACACAAACCACGGCAGCTTAATATAGAATACTATACCCACACTTGATCTCTACGTTTGAGGTATCTTTTTCAAGTAGATTATAATAGACACAAACCACGCCAGCTTATTGTACATTACTACCCACACTAGACACCCACGTTTGAGATATTGGCAGTTCAGACACAAACCACGACAGCTTATCATGAAATTAGAATACTGCCTAATTCCTATAAATTTGCGCCAGCGTTTGAGATATAACTTTGTCAGGTATAGTTCAGACACAAACCACGACAGCAGTTATTGTAGTCTGTAGAATATACTACCTCCTAGTTCAGACTCAAAAAATGAAGCCGGCCATATTTGGGCAGAATACGGTTCCGACACGAGTAAATTTCAATGAGACACCTGTGTTTAAATTTCTTTCGAGCATATATGAATTGTGTGACTCCTTAAAAATAATATATTATAAGAGTATAGGGTCTCTTGCGGCTAGGATTCTATACAACCACTGGTTGCCGTGATATCAGCGTCTGTATATTAACATTTATATGCCCCCGTAATTATACCGGACTTATACTTGTCACGACAAGCATACAATTTAAAGGTTTCAGAGAAAAAAGTAACATTTAAACTTGCAATTAATATGACAAAGTAAAACGAAAACTGTTAAAAGGGGTTTGTGGGCAGAATGTTACTGAATACTGCATATACGTTGATGTCACACGAAAAGCGAATACGGTATAATCGCGGTATCGAGTGTAACTGTCAGATGGCCATGGGTTGGCGTCAGCAGTCCGCGTTTTCATATGCCAGAATGACAGTCACATCGTGTAAATGCAGGGCCTTTACTAATACTGGCTTTAGTAAATACTAACCTTGAGTCTTTGCGACTCTCGTCTTTAATCAACAACAAAAGCTAGCCTCTCAAACCAAACATATGATCAAGCCACCACGATAAGTTTTGCTTCAAAAGACCCCAATACATGGCGATTTAAAGAATCTACAAAAATATTCTATAACGATTCTGTGGCAAAAAGAATAATTAATTTAAGAATACAAACGTGTCAAATATATCTGGCACGGTTGTGTACACAGTTTGAGGTAAACCATTAGCGGTGTGGAACTAACAAATCCTGTGACGAAATGATATTGGCTGCCTTATATTGCTTTGTCGTACGAATTAATAACAGTAAAACAATCAGTAAAAAAAAGTTTCGGAAGTAAGCCTCATATATTAAAAGTCTGTGGCCCACAAAGCGAAAAGCTATATTAATTTATAATTAACCCGTATCCTAATTGGCAACGCGCTTACAACGCCAACCCATATGAAATTTGTATTTATTTTGTGTAACAAGACAAGGCTCCAATGTCACTCATATATAACAGGTGACAGCCGATATTAAACTGTCTGATATTTTGGACAATGATAATTATTGATAGGGCACGTTTAGTACAGATTTAGCAAGGCGTAAGAGCACAACTCTTACAGGAATTCTAGGGAGAACAGCTCAGAACTGATATAGAGCTATCCAGTATAAATAAAGTTAGTTTAGCTTAGGTTCCTTCCTGTAGAGTAACACTGGATCAATAAGAGATTATCCTTACTGGACCTCTAGGAAGAAGAACAGTTTAGAATCGATACAGCTAATAATCAGCTATTTTTTTATAAATAAATAAAGTTAGTTTAGTTTAGGTTTCTTCCTGTAGTACAGTATAACACTGGATTAATGAGAGATGATCCTTACTGGACCTCTAGGACTGAGAACAGTTTAGAACTGATAGAGCTATCCAGTATAAATGAAGTTAGTTTAGTTTAGTTCAGGTCTCTTCCTATAGTAACACTGGATCAATGAGAGATGATCCTTACTGGACCTATATACGAAGAACAGTTTTGAACTGATAGAGCTATCCAGTATAAATCAGTTTAGGTTCCTTCTTATACGAAATAAGACTTGGCTGGTAAGAGGATGGGCCCTAACTGAACTTCAATGGGGAGCAATCTAGTAAAACTGATAGGCTATCGATCATAATCGGGTTCCATGTGGTTTTATGACAAGCGAAACGAAATTTTGACTAATCTTGATTAATTTATACTCAACATAGCTCAATCTATTCTAAAGTGTTCTTCCTAGGGGTCTAACTATAGTAAGCTGGCCATCTATTATTTTTCAGTATTACTAAACGAAAAAACCTTAACTAAACTAACTTTATTATTATACTGGATAGCTCTATCAGTTCTAAACTGTTCTTCTTACGCCGGCATGGAAGTCCAGCAAGAAATCCTTTTCAGTATTAACAAAATGAATGCCAATTCGAAAATTAAGTGTTTTAAAATCATATTTTGACAATGAAATTTATGACCACATAATCTCTATACAGTTTGGTCGAAGCGGTCAGCGGTCAGTACAGAAATCTTGCACTGATTGCTTTGATAAAACTGTATGGAGCCTTTGGTTCTGCACTGACCGCTTGAGTATAACTGTACGGAGCTTTTTGTAACTGTATAGGGATTGTACATTGATATGATAGGTCATAGTCAGGCCTGTGATAAAACTGGATCAATATAGGATGATCCTTACTGGACCTCTTGAAAGAATTGGTACTAGTGGGGCGCGGATAAGCGCACTATTTTGCAATAATTGTGTAGTTAGTGAAGAAAGCACCATATTGACACTATGTGTAGACTTTGACACAAGTATGAATATCTGATATGGAGGCATCTGTGAAATTAACGCTGATAGCTAAAAATTTTGAATTTCTGATATTTGATAGAATTACTGATAGAAATTTTAAAATTCCAAGGTAGCTCACAGAAATAATAAGTTGCATGGTTGAAAAGTACACAAAAAACTCTCTGTAGAACATTAAAGCAGTTTTTTTCTTTGTCAAGTCGTTTTTAAGTCTACACATCCTGTCAATATGGTGCTTTCTTCACAAAATGCAGAATACTTGCACTTATCCGCCCCACTATACAGATTTCGCTGCTACATTTAGAGCAACTTCCATGGAATGATCTCATGAATGGACCGCTGAGGAGATTGGTTACAACTGACAGAGCTATCCAGTATAAATAAAGTCAGTTTAGTAACACTGGATCGTCCAGTCTGATTCTTCAAGACATGTATATTGTCAAGATTATCAATGTTTACAAAATTTACAGAAATTCTTTGCATAAGACTGCAACACCATGGGCGGATTTACTGGGGGTGGGGGGGGGGGG